TGGAGCAGCAGCATTTTAGAATGAAAATGGTCTCTTCAGTTTAGTAGTGTGGACGGATGACGTAACCATAGAAAAACTTATATTTTTATTAACTATAACGTATAAGTATAAATGGGGCCTTAAACTGGTCTGAGCACCGGCACATGATCTAAAAGAGTTGTCCTTATTCTCTTAATGACTTTAAGGTTTGTTTTGGGCATAACATGCATTAAACCAGTGGTTCTCAAACTGTGGTACATGTACCACTAGTGGTACACAGGCTTCCTTCTAGTGGTACGCGGAGGAATGAAATATGTCATGTACATGCTACACACATTTCAAAATTTACCAAATATGATGGATATAATATGCCATATAGGACATATAGCCTATAATTCTGAGGTATTCTACCACGTTTTTTTAACTGTGCAGAGTTGTAGCTGCTTTACTGGGCCTACTACGCTACTGTATTTCAATACTGCTCATTTTGTTGGTACTAGGAGAGACAATTTTTTTCTGAGGTGGTACTTGATGAAAAAAGTTTGAGAACCACTGCATTAAACCATTCAGTCTTATGTCCTATTACCTTCATTATTAAAAAAAATGGTTAAAGACCATCTGTGTGAGATTAATGACTATCTACTGAATGAACCTCTTCCATTCATCCTCTTCTTCGACGAGCCGAATCATAAAGCCAAAAATGATTTCAGTATACAAGAAGAAAAATAAATGTATGTAGACTTTAGTAACAGTTTCGAATATTTATCTAAATTTGTTGAAATATATTAGCATATTGGAAAAAAATCCAATATCATGCATCCCTATAATTAAGGCTGGCTGTATTTTTTTTAAATCGAAAACTTCAACTTAGCAACTGCCTAGCAACCACTTATAACACCGTAGCAACTGCCTAACAACACCTTGGCAACCACCTGACTACCAACCAGAACACCTAAGTAACTGCCTAATAAGACATTAGAAACCACTGAGAACACCCTAGCAAATGACTAGCAACATCTTGGTAACCACCTAGAAACAGAAAAGTAAAACAACATGCTAACAACATGTTAATACATGCAAAAAACATGCCAATCCATACTAGAAACACGCATATTTGTTCTTATCTATTTATACCAACTCAAACTTCAAGCTTCTTAAACTACTTCAGTTATTTAAACTTTAAATCTACTTTAAACTAGGCTCTCAAGTCACCAAAAAGTTTGTTTACTAACTTTTCTAGTTTAAATATGTGACACCAAGTTTTGTTTCATGCAATAACACTCTGGCAATCAGCATAGTCTCTACAGTCCCATCACACATCAGAGCTTCAGCTCAGTGGAAGACACAGCTGTCATATTAGTGAATGAAAACCAAAATGAAACCGTGTTTACATGACAAATGATCAAAACTCCGGCAAATGGCTCTTTCTCCGAAATGTACAATGTACTAAACAAGACAGTGTTTTGGACTTTGGACTTTGGCCAATGCACTTTAAATTAAAACCTGGGTCAACACAAAAACTATATATGGTACAAATACTTTTTGAATTC